GGGGGGAGAGCAGGCTATCATCTCTACCTTAGCAGAACTTCTTGACAGAAAATACCGAGAACAAGTTGACTGCAAATCATTAGCTTCAATTTCATGAGACTCAAAATTTGCAATACCTGACCTAGATTTTGTAATAATATCGGCCTTGACGAGTAATTTTTTCAGACTAGCAATAGCAGGACTCTGAAATTTAAAAGCAGAACAAATTTCAGGGTCACAATAGTAAAAATCCAACATGAAGTGCTTTAAACCAATGAGGTTATTGTGACAAGAGAAACCTACAGATGAGAAACTACTTTTCCCCTGAGGGAAGTCTGGGATACACAAGCAATTCGGAGGAACTGCAACACGGTCTATAATAAGACCAGACTGTGGAAAGCTGCCCTTTTCAGCAAGCCATCTTACTGTTCTCTCTGGCAAATTCTTTAAAATTTGGCGAGCCTGGTAAAATATCAAAGGAAGTCCCACATAAGACAGCAATAAATAAAACTACGCAAATAGCTCTCAGGCCATAGAACAATAAAACAGTAAAAGAACAAAATCATATTCCAAGAACTAACTGGCATACAGAAAAGAAGCACTGACTTGATTCAGATAGATATATTAATGATGGCCATACATAATGTTGCAACTATACAAGTTACTCCCATGGAACAAGTAACATGGGAAAGATGCATGCTTTGGCATTGTGGTTTTATTATGTCTACCAATAGACTGCATTTTCTACCAGCAGAACGAAGTTTCAATAACAAATGAAAATAAATACATATATCAAATATAAGGTGGTTAGATACATAAATACAAGGGCTAGGGCAATACAGAGGAACAATCAAAAGAAGATTTACAGGAGGACAATGTCAACATTCCCTGACCCCTAACCCCACACTGCATATTCCCCTCCTATTTAACCCAACTTTACCGACAACTAGTCCATACCCTCGAAATTTCCAGGATAGCAAAAATAACAACCACCATCAGTTGACTTGCCGTGCCAGCTCAGGACTATACCAAGTCAACATGACTCAATGGCCAACAGAGTCATTCCCCAGAATTTGCTTGGGCGCATCAATAACTCAAGCAACTCAATAGGATCACCTGAGTTGGGTAAGTCCGGTGTCTTTTTGTTATGAGCAGATCCAAGAATCATATCTCAGTTTCCATTCATTCCAAAGAACTTTAAGGGCGTAAAGGTGGACAATAAGGATCATTTT